CCGCTCATTGGAACATCATGTAAAAGACTTGGCAGAGGCCTTCATTATCTTCATAAAGGATAACATGAAGCTGAATCCAACCAACTATATTTTCAATGAGGAGTTAGGCAAATTTTTGGGTTTTATGGTTTTAAACAAAGGAATTAGGCAAAGCCTGAGAAGGTGATAGCCATTTTGAATCCCATAAACTACCGAGGAGATTTAGAGATTAATGAGGTGAACTACAACCTTCAAACAATTCATATCCAAGCTGGCTGACAAGTGCTTACCATTATTCAAAACTCTTCAAAGTGCAACTAAGTTCAAGTGGGATAAGCAACGCTAGAAAACCTTCAATGAACTAAAGCAATATTTGTAATCACCCCCTTTGCTCGCCAGCCTTATTTTTGGTGAGCCCTTGTATGTGTATTTAGTAGTGTCTAATGAAATGGTGGCAACAGTACTAGTTAAGGAATGAAGCAAATGGGAACCAGTCCTAATATATTATGTTAGTAAAGCCTTGTAGAACAAGAAAGTCAATTACACACGATTAAAAAAAATATCTTTTACATTAGTCACGGCTGCTGGTTGACTAAGATAATATTTCTAGGCGTATACCATCATTATGTTAACAGACCAGCAACTTAAAGAAGTCTTTTACAAAATCGATACTTCAAGAGGAATGATGAGATGAAGTATCAAACTCAGTAAATTCCATATTGAGTATAGGCCTAGGAAGGTTATCTAAGCACAAGCTTTGGTTGACTTTCTTATCGAGTGCTCATTTGCCCTTGAAGCAGAAGCCCTATAGCAACATTCTAAAATATTTTAACTCCATCCTTGACCCCAACAAGCAAAACTAGATAAAATAAAAGAGACAGATAAATCGATCGAGCCCATTACACCACCCTCTTAGATTAACCAATGTCTCCTAATATCATGCCCCTTGTCAAAGCAAACATGGATGTTATACGTTGATGGTTTCTTAGGGAAAGATGGCTTTGGCATGTGTCTTGTGTATTGAAAAAGAATAAGAGGACACATGGATGACCCCCAAAAAGAGAACCACCTATCTAACTTTATAGAATGCAAAAAGGTCCAAAAGAGGGCAACTCAATTTGCACTAGTAAGGGACACTTTGTATGAGAAAGGTTTCTTAACTCCTTTCCTTAAGTGTTACCCCCCATCTAAAGAAGAGTATGTCCTAAAGGAAATATATGAAAGGGTGTGCAGTCACCACGTAAGTGAGTGAGCACTTCTCTCAACAGCCAGCAAAAGCTCTTAACTAAATTTTCAATTCGTTGTCATTTGCTTAGTGTGGCATTAATAACTTCAGACCATTTCTCGTGGTGATCATCCAGTAAAAGTTCTTGATTGTTGTCTATGATTATTTCACCATATGGGTAGAGGCAGAACTTATGGTTGCCATTATTGTCAAGACAATGGAAGATTTTGTATGAAAATATATTGTGTGTAGGTTTGGTCTTCCTCACACAATTGCATGGATAATGGGACATAATTCTAAACAGATAAGTCAAAATGGTTCTACCAAAATTTCAAGATAGCTCTAGTTCATGGTTTAATGGCCCACCCCAGACCAATGGTCAAGTAGAGTCTATGAACCAAAAAATCTTAATTGTATAAAAAAAGAAGCTTAATGAAGCCAAAGGGGCTTGAGTAGAAAAAGCTCCCAATATACTTTAGGTGATCTAAACCATGGATCACTAAACAATAAGAGAGATGCCATTCACACTGGCTTATGGCACTAAAGTAGTGATATTACCAAGATGGACATCAATACACTCAAAACAACACACTTTAATCCCAACTAGAATTAAGAAGTTTTGATGGCCAACTTGGATTTGTTACAAGAAACTAGAGACATGGCTGAGGTCAAAATGGCTGCCAGGGCTTAACAGGTTGCCAAATACTACAACTCTTGTGTCAAACATAGACATCTTGAAGTGGTGACCTAGTACTTAAAAATTGTGAAGCTAGTAAACTAGCGGGAGAAAGGAAAAAGTTATCACCTAATTAGAAATGACCATATAGAGCTCAACTGTTATTGGTTTTAGAGCATACAGATTGAAGCACATGGGGGTAACCCTAGACTAAGGACTTAGAATGCCATTTATTTGAAGAAGTACTACATTTGATCCTTGTTCATCATTAAGTCTTTTAAATTTATAAAGTACTCTATGTATTTGTATTTCTCTTATGTTGTACATTTAGGTTTCACCAGCCTCTTCTTTTTCTTTTAAGAAATCTTGTATAAGAAAATTTTAATGAAGAAAGATGACATCCTACCACTTTGCTCTAGTTATGCTCCCTTACGCACATCTATATTATGTCAAGTCTCTCACATCTACATGCCTTACGTACACAGCACACCATTTATATTGCATTAAGGCTCCCATAAAAACACACTTAATGTGCCTTAATGCAATCTATGTTGTGTTAAGTTTCCCATGCCAACATGCCTGACGTGCTTTACGTGCCATCATCTTTGCATTAAGGCTCCCACGCTAACACACTCAACACACCCTGTATGCCAACTATAGTGCATTAAGGCCCTATGACAACATGCTCAATGTACCCAATATGCCTAATGTGCCGTATACCATTTTACATTAAGGCTATTCTACCAACATGACTAATACACCCTGCACACCATTCCTATCTCAACAATGCAACTCTTAAGCCAACACGACTAAGCAAAGAGCAATACACTAATATGAAATTACAACAAAAGAATTACATCACAAAAAGTTAAACACACTTGTTTTTTTTTTTTATAAGTCATTTTGTTTCTAAGAGAAAACAAAAATGCTTAGGTATGAAGGCATTGCATGATTCTCAAGCAAGATCCCCTTTTAGACTCACAAACATCATACCATCACCTCACAAATCTAACGAGTAAATCATTATGCATTAAGTACATTCACTCAAATTATGGGAAATTTAAATAAAAGCTAACTACATCTTTATTAAACTTAGTTCAAGACTGAACAAACCTTCGTGTCTACCAGTAATTTCAAAAACTTTGTTTTTACATAATGCTTTGCTTTAAGGTATAAACACTGGTCAAGACCAAACTTACTGGTATGATGGTAACATGATGAATATCATAAGTCAGTTAACATGTTAATGCAAAAAGATCAAGTTATGTTGTTGGATATTCTTAACTTAGACATTTTTATACAAGTAAGCATAAGGCTAAGTACAATTGATAATCATACCAAATTCAATATAAAGCAATTAAATAAAACAACAAGTAAATTGTTGGGATAATTCTTTTCTTTATTCATAATATTAAGTTTGTACATACTTGAAAAATACAAAAATAAAAAACAGAAATAATAATACAAAGAAGAATTACAAAAATCCTAAGGAGCAAGAGCAACAAAAAAGCCATCATTAGCAAAAGGGTAGGAGTAATAGCCTTCTCAATTAGTGTTATTATAGGCTTTTAAGGGGTAAGGGCAACTGACATCAATATCAGCTTCACCACTAATAGGGGTAAGCTCTACACCAGAGCTGTTGGCCTTAAGGTTGCCAATTGGTGCAAGTAGAGCATTCAGGTCGAGGCTCATCGAGGCCCTACCTATTCTATTAGAAGCTTTAATCTGTTTCAATAGGGCCATGTTCTTAGGGAATTCCATGTTAAACCCTTCAAAAGGCAACCTTATTTCAAAGAAGTTTACCTCCCTCAAGTCCATGTTTTCCACATGCAGCTATACTTGATATAAAACTAAGAGCCTGTACAACTCACCAGTAGTGAGGCAAACCTTAGTCCATTCTTCATTTTGTTATTCTAATCTTTTGGAAGACTTAGTTCTTTCCTCTTCTAAGTTTGCCTTCAATTTCACCAACTCTTTCTTCAGCTGAAGGATGCATAATAAGACTTGATCCCTTTCCACTAAGGCCTTATCCCTTTCCCCTTGCATCCTACTTACTCAAGTAGTCACTTATGCCTGTTTACCCTATAGCTTATCTTTCTCCCTTTCTACCTCCTTGACATGAGCATTGGTCCTATTTAAAAGCTATTACAGCACCATATTTCTGCCCGTGATCTTTTTTTGTTATGCATTCATTTCCTTAACTTACTTTATGTGAGAGGCATTGAGGGTTTTTAGCCTTTTAATGAAAGCATCCCTCTCCTTCACTAATGGCTTTAGGCAAATCATTTTTTTGATGTCCTTTTGTAAATGTTCTATCTTGCCATGTAAATCCTCCATTAACAGCCTTAGCTACTCATACAAGCCCACTTTATTTGCCAAGGATTGTAACATAAGCACAATTACAATTAAGTAAGATATGACAGTTGTAGACACCTCATTTTGCCCGGAGTTTTCGTTAATGGAAAGTTCGATACAAGCTTAATTGTAAAATTTTATTTATTTTAAATTTTATTTGGTATTTATCATATTTATTTATTTATGTCATTTAGTTTTAGTTTAGTTTCATCATTATCTGGTTATTCATTTTTTTTTGAAGATTGGACTTAGTGGGAAGAAGTGAGTTGGCAATGATAGGGTTGGAGTGAGATTCATCTTATGGAAGATAAATTTTGGTTTTCTTTGATAACATAAATAGAATCACAGTTGTTTTAAAATTCTCCTAAGTTTAGTCCTATAAATCAACAGAAGAATCAATTGGGGGAAGAGAGATTAGAAAAGAATCACAGAAAAAATCTAAAGATCAGAAACACGGAAGAAAATCAGTAGTGAAATAGAGAAATTGGCATAGCTTGTGTTTAGAGCAGCGACATGCCATAGACCATCGTGTAGAGTCACCAGTTGGTGGGAAAAAGGAAAGAAAGAAATGCCCTAACTGCAAGTCTAAAAAAGAGAAAAGCAAACGAGAAAGGGAAAGAAGCAAACTAGAAAAGTAAAAGGATTTGATAAAGCCAACAAATTGATTTTTGAGAGATTTTAGTTCAAAAGCCCACATGTTCACAATTCCTATTCTTGTGAAGAGTTTTGTTTATTTTCATCAATGATGTAGTAGGAGGCCAGAACAGAGGAGACAAGAAGGTAGTGGCGGTGGAGTTCACGATGATGAAGCCACAGCTGATGGTGGAAGCACCAAAGGTAGTTGATGCAGTGCAATTCTACAAGACTGCGTTTGACGCTATCGATAATAGCTATACTCTTTACCCCAAGTGCAAGGCTGAGCAGGAGCTTCTTCATATCCTTTCTATTCAGTTTGAGCTCATTGGCTCTACCATTCTCGTATCAAACATTGCTAGTAACTCTGCTTCTGTGAAAAGTGAAGAAACTGGATGTGTGCTTTGCATCAAAACTGAGGACGTGAAAGTTGTTATAGCCAAAGTAGTGAGCACTAGAGTCATTGTAGAGGGCAGTGATGCATGCTGTGGTGGGCATGTAGGCAAGGACAAGGCTCCCTATGGATATAGTTGGCTCATCTGCTCTCTTGCCAAGAATGTTGCTGACGTCCTTACACTGTTAGGATCTGGTTCTTTTTTGCTTTTGAATTCTGAAAAAAGTATAGAAAACAGGCAGAGAAAGTTTATACCTGCCTATCTACGTTGGCCTCATATGCAAGCTGATCAAGTTCTAGGGCTAAGTACCAGAAAAATTGGAGGGAGGTTTTGGAAGCACCACCGATCTTTCTCTGTTCGCTCTACATGCCATGCTATTGTTAAACCATTTACCATGGTGCAAAAAAAAATATAAAATATAAAGAAGTTGAGGGGATATCAGAATGCTGTCTATTGTGCCATACTTCATCACTCCGAGAGATATGTTAATACTGGTTCAGATGATCACCTAGTCAAAATTAGGTCTATGAAAACTGCATTTTGCTTGGCTAGCTGCTGTGGACATGAAGGTGATGTAACTGGCTGTTAGTTCAAACAATATTATGATGGCATTTGCATCAAATGATTTTGTGATTCAAATTGGCGCTTGCCAGATGGGTTGCCAGTTTTAGTTTTACGAGGACATACTGGAGCTGTAATTGCCATTACATTTAGTCCTAGGCCCTACCTTTGCTTCCCAACTTTAATTGTCATTTGATGTGAGACTTGCCAAATCTGGGATGCCAGATATTCACATTATAACCCATGCATGTACCTATCGAAGCCTTCTGAAGCTGCTGCCATCGGGAGGAGCAATTTTCCATCTAATAATGGATCGAGACAAGCGAAATCAGTTTTTGAGAGTTATTCCAGCTTTTCTACATCTAAAGTCGAGTCACGCCAACTCTTCAGTCGAATCATTTTTTTTATTTTGTGTTTATTTATTTTTAAAAGTATTTTTGTATGAATAAAGTTAAAAATATATAAAAAGAAAAAATAAAAATTTTTTGAGAAAAAATTGAAAGCATTAATTTTTTTTGAAAATAAATTTTTCTAAAAAAAATATTTTTAAGGAAAAGTTGAAAGTATTAATTTTTCTGAAAAATAAAAATTTCAAAATAATTTCGAGGGAAAGTTAAAAATATCAATTTTCATTGAAAATAAAATTTAAAAAAAAAATTTTTTTTGGGAAAAGTTAAAAGTATCAATTTTCCTTAAAAATAAAATTTTCAAAAACATTTTAGGGAAAGTTGAAAGTATCAAGTTTCCTTGAAAATAGAATTTCCAAATGCTTCAAAAAAAAGTTGAAAGTATCAATTTTTCTTACATAAAAGCAATGAGTGTTTTTTTTAAAAAAAAAAAGAAAAAAGATTTATATCAAAAGTTGAATCACTATTCTTTTTTTTTATTTTTTTTCTTTTCTTGATTTTTTTTAATGTTAAATAATCCGACGATAGAGCTTCTATAAGTGAAACAATAGTCTCATTGCATACTTTTGAGGTGAGAGAATTTTCTCAATTTTTTGCTAAAAGTATTAGAGTCAATTGAGAATAATTTTTAATAATTAATTGCTTGGTAAAATTTTAAGGCTTATTCGATAACACAAAATTAAGTTGATACCATCTTTCGATGGACGTTTGAGGGTGCTACAACCTTACTCACACGTAACTGTACTTTCGAATCCTGTTTTGGTCAACAGACCTGAACCTATTCTTTTAGGGACCATTAGGTTTAGGTGTTCCTTAAAAAGATAGATTCTCTAGGTGGCCAATCGCACCTAAATAAAAAAGATTGGTGGCGACTCCTAAAGCTAATGTCTAGTGATAGATCCCCGGATCTAGACGTTATGACAGTTTTGTGACTCCACTGGGAAAAGCCGAGAGTCAGGCTAGCAAATAAATTTGTGTCATCCAAAAGCCTAATAAAATTTTTGTATAGATTTTTTTATTCATTCATATTTATTTACTTTGTTAATTCTGTCATTCATATGCATATGCATAACATGAGCTCTATATCCGATCTTCGTCCCTCTAGGAGGGAGTAAAGTAACTATTGCTTTCGTGATGTTTTAATGCCTCCATAGTGTCTAGCGAAATACTCCCACTCAAATTGAACCTTTTTCGCTTATAGCTTGTAATGGGTGAGGATTAGGGTACTTTACTAGTTTGTGACAAACAATGATGTAAGGAACAATTTGAGAACTTTTAGACTTTAGCCTTGAACCATATATAGTGAACCTTAAAAGTGCCTAACCCTAAGATAGAGCCCTTTTTACCCAATGATAAATATACCCTGAAATTAAGACACAAAAATGGTGTTTATCTAATCATTTTGATTGTCTGACTATGTGCATCATTTTCATTATCATATGTAATATTATACATCGGCATCACTTTTAGTTCATCTATGAAACTAACCATGTTGTTTGTCTGATTTTGTCATTTGTATTATTTTCATGATCATGTTTTAACATTATCATTTGTATCCATTTCATATTAGATTTCATCCATGAAAATGTACATTTTATTCGTGCATTAACGTATCATACATAAAGCATAGCATATCATTTCTAATCATAACTATGGTGCTAAAAGTTCAAGGATAGCTCCACCAAGCAACCTAACCCACCGATATAACACAAGAGCCAGAGCTAGACAAATGGAGTAAGAAAACTCTCACCGATTTGAAAAACTAGAAAAAGCACAGGAAAAGATTGACAATGAGTTGAGCAAGATTTTGGATGCTCTCAACAAGTTAAACAATGAGACGGTAATAGAAGAGAATGCTAGTTAATAAGACCATCCATCACAAGAAGTGACTGACCTTTTATACCCATATGGTTTTGGTCCACCTCAAGTTCAACCTACACAAGAGACCTCACCTTAACAATTTACATATCCTATATATCCTGGAATGCCATCTACCTCTAATCCAAGGCATTACCACGACTATGTGAATTCTGTCTTTATTGAAAAAGTAGTAGAATCAATCCAAGTTCCAGATTTGTATGAACTAAAAGGAAAAGAGAAGGAAAAGGCAAATGTGGTGGAAAAGATTCAAAGATTAGTATGATTGAACAAAGGTTACGAGTAGTGGAAGGAGTGGGTTTTTATGGTTTTATCGATGTTGTTGGACTCTGTTTAATCTCGAATGTGGTTATCCCTTCAAAGTTTAAAGTGCTAGAGTTCAAGAAATACAATGGTACTAAGTGTTCAAAGACTCACATTACTATATACTGTTAAAAAATGGTTGCCCATGCCAATAATGAAAGGCTCTTGATGCACGTCTTTCAAGATAGCCTCACTGGCTCTATCGCTAGGTGGTATGTCCAGCTGGACAGGAATCGTATTCGTTCTTGAAGTGATATGGCCCATGACTTTATCAATCAATACTGACATATCATAGACTTAGCTCCTGATCATCTTTCCTTGTAAAATATGGAAAAGAAGGCGACTGAATCATTCAAAGAATATGTCTAGAGGTAGAGGGACATGGCTACTAAGGTGCAACCTCTTTTGACTAAAAAAAAGATCACTGTATTATTTGTCAGTACTTTAAAATCTCTCTATTATGAAAAGATGATAGTGAATGCCACAAAAAACTTTGTCGACATGGTGAACTAAGGCGAAATCATTGAGAATGCTATTAAAAATGGTAAGTTGAATGGAGGAGAAACTAAGAAGGCACCCGAGAAGAACGAGACTAAAGCTCAAGCTGTAGCTTTGATAAACAGTTTAGGGCATACCAACCCTATTGACAGGGTTATTCCCTACACTATCCTACTATGAACAATACCTTATCCTAACTATACCAATCAGCTCCACAACCATCTTACCCATTAACATGCCAGTTTGTTTTCAGCCCTCAAACTCCCATATACAACCTTAATATTCAACCTCCAATATACAACCTTAATATTCAACCTCTCACAAGGCCTCAAACTTATCTTGCTAACCCAACAAGTGGTTTATGAGAGCAACAAATTATTCGAGAAAAACTTGTATTTGATCCAATTCCCATGACTTATACGGAGTTATATTGAGAGCTTTATAATAGCCACTTGATTGCCTCAAGCCGTGTGAAGCTGTTCAAGCCACCTTATCCTAAGTGCTATGATCCTATTGCTCACTGTGACTACTACTATGGAATTACTAGCCATTCCACTAAAAATTACACTGCTTTAAAGCATAAGTGCAACGGTTAATCAAGGATGGAATGGTAAGTTTTAATCAAGGAAGAGCAATAACACCTAATGTTAGTGGCAATCCATTGCCAAATCATAATGTTAATGCTCTGAGTGAAAATCAAAAACATGTTAGTCAAAAAAGGCTCGAAAAGTCATAATGAATTGAAGGGTAAGATATCAATAAAAATTCTTCACCTGATTGCATAAGGCATAATTTTGGAGAATAAAGATAAGGCTAATTGGAAGTTTCTTGTCATTTTAAGATTTCTTTTAGAGTAATATTAGGTTTCTTTTAAGCAGTAGGATTTCATTCGTTATCATTTCAATAAAAGGTCATTTAATGCATTTCATTACATTTTTTTTTCATTCAACTACTGTTCTATGCTTTGTCACCTTTCATAACTTTTATTCCTATTCTTGAATTCCAAACAATCAATGTTTAGACAATGATAGTAATAATTTTGGGATTTAATTTTAAAAACTCATTCACATTGATTTAAAGAGATTATTTGAAAAAAAAAAGCCAGTTGCTAGTAGATGTGAAATTAATATGATTCGAAGAAGTGCAGTCTCTTATAAAAAGTCATGAGCTTGTTTTTGTTCAATAGATGATGTTCAAAGAAAACATTCACATTTGAGATGAAAAATGGTCATCTTTCTTTTTGAAAAACCATTCATTGTTACCACTTTGAGCCTTTTTTTTTTTTTTTAAAATCCTGCCCAAGGATCATCCTTCACACTTGGAGGTAATTTTTTTAAAAAAAGAGCCCAATGATCACAAAAGATCTCAAAAAAAAAAAAGAAAAAAGAAAGAAAAAATAAATGCTATAACAAGTTGGGGTAAATTAATAAGAGTCTTTTTGTGAAGAATGAGATGAAAATGGGAAAAGTAGTGAAATGATGTAGAGTGGGGCAAACTGCCAAGTTGCATCAACTGATGATCCTTTAGTTTTAAACCCTTTAAATATATATATTGAGCCTATTTTATCTATTTCTTTCATGACCCCATACCATGGCCTACATTACAACCTTGAAAAATTTATTTGGATCAAGTGTGAATGCTCGAATTGAATAATCATATGTTGGGCAAAGGCATGCTCATGACGGAATCATGTTATATTGCTTTAGAGATTAATGTGTGAGAGATATTAACAATGGATGAAAGATGAGAAAAAAGGAAAAAAGAGGATGAAAGATGAAAAAAAAAAGAGAAAATGGATAAAAAAAAGAGAAAGAAAAAAGAGAAAATAAAAAATATAAAAAATAAAAAGAGAAAAAAAGAAGACTCAAATTGAAAACCCGAAAGGGCAATTTGGGTAGCCCAAACCTTTAAGCTGAAAGTTGGATGAATAGTATAAATATATAGAAGATCAAGACATCTAATTATCTTCCAAAGCTGGGGCAAAGTTTAATGAACTCAAAATGATTTTGACAATTAATGGAATGAGTTTTCGAAAAAAAATCTTGAATTAATGCTCAAAATTTTTGAATATTCATTTATCCCAATGACATACATCCAACTTGTCTCTTTC